CTTGTACTATATGTGTCCCACTTGGGACTTGTGTTTGCATGATGGGATTCGAGCGTCTTGCCTTTCAGAAGGAAAGGATTGGTCTGCACCGGCTAGTGCGGGTTGCGATACGTCGTTCTCTTTTTGTAGGCTGCCGTGTGTTCGTATGTGGAGGTCAGACCACCGAGCTGTCGGACGGAAGTTTGTCACGTCGGTTGATTAGTAGCATTCTCGTTCGAGCAGTGCCGGACTTTGGCTCAATGATGTGCCGGACGGGGTGTGAAATCTCCTCTGGCGGGGCTTAGCCTGTTGGCTGGCGGGGGGAGTACCACTGCATGCGGACAAAGACGGAGCCTCAGAGGCGATTAGTAGCTTCTCGTAGCATGGTTTTGGGAAAGGCTGATTCTTGTCGGACCGATGGAAGTGAATGCCCGGACGGCTGACTTTGTCCCTGTATTTACGCACTCGGGGTAACCCTCGGTGTCGGTATGGATGCGCAAAGCGGCAAGACGGGATGGGGTATTATGGGGACAAGGAAAGGGCTAACGCCTTCCCGGAGCCTGAGTACCGCGCTCGTGATGGTTGAGCTGCACTTGAGGTATGGGGTAAAACTCTACCGATAGTATAGGCGGAGAGACCATATTGGGATGACCGGTGAGGAGATGACCGGCCCGTATGTGAGATTGCCTGATTTTTTTATGTGTTCCCCTCCTCCCGTAAAGATGGATTGAGTTTGGATTGTTGGACGAGCATACTTCTAAGTCCATTCCCTCTCCCTTCTAAGTCCACACGAGTGAGAGATGATCGGAAGGCAGGAGGATAGAGGTCAGATGGAATGGAACCAAGAAAAGGAATGTGGGGAAATGGATGGCCAACCGAGGATATTCAGGGGGGGAGGTACTTAGGAATGGGGAGGTAAATTAGGGAGACCTTAATGGGGGGTCTGAAATAATTCTCATCTAGGAAAAGGGGTTGACCTGACCAGAAGAACCGGTTGGTACTCTTTCATGAAAACAGAGGTCGGGTGCTGGAAACAAGATGGCGCGATGGTTGTCTCCCCCGACTTATACCAGCGGTCCAGAGATGCGAGTAGACGTAAAGGATGGGGTGTCGGTCGTCCTCCTGGAAGATGGGGCGTGGACGGACCTTGAACTAGCATATCAAACCGTAATGCTGGAAGGGGAGGACACGTTCCTATGGATAGAGACGGTATGGGTTAATGTTAGCTTGACAAGGTTGTCGCCAAGTTTAATGGATTTGGAGTTCCGGGGAACAGTGGAAGCTCGGGGGTGGGTCTACTTGTCGCAAGATGGGGAGAATGCTATGGTCGTAGAGTTGGCACTCGGGAATGCGCCGGACGAGCTGTTTAGGAAGGCTGAAGCGGAAGTTGTGTGGGTCGCGTGTCAGCAAAGGGAGATGGAAATGGAAAGGGTAAATGTGCGGGTGGAACTTGGGAATAGAGAAAGCATGAGGCGGCCCGTCAGAACCATGCGATGCGTGTTGCCTCCCTTCCTACTGGATGCGGTGTTTAGAACCCGGAGCAGACTGGTAAGGATATGTCAGTCCATGACGGACCTTGGACTATACCAATGCGCTAGGCAGGATTTATTCCGGTTGTCAGTAGAAATGGGGCCGTTTGAGGGGAACTGGGCGGACGAACTGACCGAGATACTAACCTGCCTTAGCATAGACAATATTTATGTCTCTAGCTCTGTACATTGGGGGATAGTGTATAAAAATGTGGCAATAGGGGAGACATTTCTGGAGGGGGTGAAAGAGTTGTTCTACGACGAAGAGGACGACTTAAGTGATGAGGACGAGGATGAGGAGATAGAGGATTGAGACTTATAAGGAGGGGGACTTGACCTCGGAAAAAACGGGTGGCCTGGTATTGTGCAGGAAGGGAAAAGGATGACTAGATAAGAGATGATGATGGAATACACCTTCAAGGGATGGGAACCAAGACGACTCAGAGGGGGGGTACAGATGCCTATACCAACAGAAAATGAATGGAGAGGGACCACGTGCGACTGGGTTGGGTTTGAGGTTGCCCGGGAATTATCATATGTATGGATAGAACGGATTTGGAACCCGATAAGGGAAGAGGAAGGTTGGGACAAGTTAGCAGAGGGCAAAGTGGAATCAGTCGGAACAATTGTCCTCTCCGAGAACGGGTGGCACCTGTTTTGCACTATGTTAGCAATGAGACAAGATCCAATGTGGCTTCTAGGGGATGCAAAAGCGCGAACCCGAAAAGAAGGCAAGAGGTTCGCCAACGAGGGGTGAGACGAAGTTAGCAGCAAAGTTGTGATGGGAGGGTGGAAAGAACTTAGGCCTCCCTGCCTGCGCATAACAGCTTGGGTGCTCGAGTTCGTGGCCGACTGGTTCGAGGGCTTTGAGCACATAGCAGACGTAGCCGACTCCGTGAGGAAAGTACACATAGGATGTGTCTGACTGACCGAGGAGTTCTAAAGGTTCTCCTTGAAATATGGGTCGTTCTACGAGGATAAGGCCGGTGACGTCATCACTGTCCTGAGGATAGGTAAGTACGACCGCCTAGAGGTAAGCGCGAAAGCCTGGGACGCCATAGTTAGCCAGGAGGCGGCGGCCGCGCGATCCTATGTGGACGATGTCTTTATGCTCTTTGAGGTGCGGTGGTTTGATTAAAGGGACTCAAAGTTCGAGCGCCGCAGGAAGAACGGAGTATGGAGAATGCATGTGAATTAGGATGTAGCATAAGAAAGGGGCGTGTACACTAGTCGGCAGGGGACGCAAGGAGCCCAAAATAAGGGCAGGCATGAAGACAGGATAGTGGCGGCAACCAATGTACAATAGGAAGAGGGTATTGAAAGACTAAAACACGAAAAGACGCAGAATCTCCGTGGGTGCGGCAATCGGACTAAGGAAGCAGAAAAGGAGGCAATGCGAGATGGCCCGGCGAATGACGTTCTGGGAGATACCTCGCGGGATCCTACCACCAAGAGCATCAGGAGACAGGGTCGAAATAAGCCTGCCATCAAGGAACGTTGTGAGTAACCCGGTAATGGACTGGGTGGGGGTAGAGTTGGTGGAAGACACGGTGTACCTAGTAATAGAACTAGAGTGGCGTATGAGAGGGGAATTTGGGGGCATAAATTTGGACCTCCCCGGGCGAGTGCATGCGGCGGGATCCTTACACCTGTCGGAAGAAGGGTGGCGAACCTTTGGGATTGCCTTGGCCTCTGGGGATGACCCCGTGCGAATGTTCGAAGGAGCATGGCAAATAACCTGGCGGGAGGGGTTTGAGTTTGCATATCCGGAACGAGATGACGTGACGGCTTAGGTAAAAGTCGCTGTAGCAGGGGTTTTTGAGCCGCCGAATAAGGTCGTACGGATGAGTCTACCACCCTTCCTGCTAAGACGAATGGGAGGCAGTAGCTGTCGTAACTAGGTTAAATTTTGACAAAGCATTAATGTATCAAGAATACTATCGGGCATTCCTAGAGATGGGGCCTTTCGGGGACGAACAGGGGCGCGAGGTGCTTTGCATTCTACGAGCAGTGGTAAATACTAGGTCGGGAGTCCCACATATAAGTGATGAGGCCATGTGGAGAGTCATCCGGCGGGAGGTAGGTCGGGGCGCGACCTACATAGATGATCTCTACCGGCTGTATGAGCAGCCAGAGGGGGCTACTGCTCTCGGGGGTACGGAGGGATAGTTGAGAGTAGAAAAGAGGGATGAAAACGCGAAGGGCAAGGGGGCAGTAGGTAGATGGTTTCTGAGGATTGGTTGTAACCCTTTCTATGTAGACTATGCAGGGAATCACCAAGGTAACAATGGCAGCAAAACGTGAGCGAATGGAATGCCAGCCCTGTGTGCGAATGGAACGCCGGCCCCGGTACCCCGGACCGCCCTGGAATAACGGTGGACGATGGGAAGTATCCCTCCCGTCGAGTTCTACCTATCGGGGATTTGACATAGAATGGCGGGCCGTGACTTTGGGAAGGGACGTCGCCTTCATGCTGGTAGAATGTCGGTGGACAAGGATGAGACTCGATCGAGGACCCGGAGACGATCTGTTTTCCAATCTGGAAGTTACCGGGACCATGTATCTGCCTGAGATCGGCTGGCACTTGTTGGGGGTAGAGATAGCACAAGGTCACGAGCTAGCACTGGTCGTTCGAAGGGCCGCCCGAACGTTGACCCAGATAGGACAATCAGTCAGGGGTAGAAGAAACGTGGGCTTACTTCCCCGGGTGGAGATGGGGGGATGGTGGAAATTCAGAGCACCAACCACACCGCTGAAGTGTCGGGTTCCCCGTTTTATAATAGACCTCGTCTTCAGGAGCCTCGCAAGGGCGTGGGAGCTGGCAGACTCGGCAATAATGTGGGCAGACCACTTTCCCTCTCCGACCATCGGGATGTTCTATGATGTCGTTGTGGAACATGGGCCGTTCTGGGGAAACAGGGCCCACAAATTACTGGAAGTCACCCACATCCTGATGTTTTGTGCACCGCGGCTAGACTAGACGGGGTGCGAACGCATAATCCAAAGGGAAATCGAGATAGGGGAGAATTATCTAGTGGGGGTGGCACAACTATTTGAAGAACCTACCGAACCGGAAGGGCCGCGAGGGCGAGAACGGGACTAGCACCCGCAGGCGAGTCAATAGGGCAAATCAAGTACAATCCGCTACATTCGAAGGTTCACAAACAGAAATAGAAAAGGGGGGCCTCGGGCCCGGATGATCAATAACCGCCAGACAAAAAAAAAAAAAGGAACACTGCGCAGGAAAATTTTTCCCTGGCGGGTTGCCCGACCCGGACCCCTACGCACCGACCGACGGAATACGAGCGCTCCAAACAAGCCGGTGATAAGGGAAGCTAAGTCACGCCCTTAGCTCGGTAAGTTAGGAGAGCCAGACGCGGCTCCATATTAAGGAAGCCATCAGTAAATGGGAATGGGGAAAAGCCTAATTGCCAATAAAAGGATAAACCAACAGGATTGGAACCTAGGTAACCTAAATGCCTCGCACTGCGTCTGTTCTTGGGAATCCTTTGGTTATGCAGAAGTAGGCAAGTATGGCAACGGAGGATGAGACAGATAATCATGAAAGCGAGGGAGGACCAGGCTTAGGAGGCAGTGCTGTGCAAAGCAAGGAAGGGCAGAAAGACAGGGAATCAACAAATCCGGATGGCACCAAAGGGAACCGGAAGGAAATGTCATCGGGAGAGAGCTCAGGAAAAGCCAGGGGAAGCAGACAGGGGACTCAGGAAAACAAGGAGGGTAGGAATAAGGATAGGGTGAGCCCCGGGAAATCAGAGGGAGTTGTGTCTAAGAAAGTAAAGGTCACGGACGCGAGGCGCAAACTAGCAGAGATAGAGAAAAGGACCGCGGAATACAAGGCAAGGTTAATTGAAGAGATGATGATTGGGAACAAGGAAGGCCCCCTGCAGGAGGAACCGCGGGACGAGCGGAAAACCAGCCGAGGCGGAACTGGGCACGGGGACAAGGGTAGTGACCGTGGGGGAACACCGAGCAAAAGAAGGAAAGAGAGAGAGAACTCTCCGGGAATGGAGGCAGAGAAGGTTACGAACCCCTTAGCCATAGACAGTAGGGTTAGCAGTCTACCGACCTCGCCAGCGGTATCGCGAGGATGCGAAGGGCTCTGGAGCCTCAGAGAAAGGGTTTTGGGATGGTTCGACTCGGAAGGAACGACAAAGACTAGAGGCGGGCAGAAGGCCAGCAAGGAAGGGCCAGATACCAGCATGGCAGGKGAGGCCAGTAGCTCCGAAGGCGACCTTAGGAAGATAGTATCATCCTTTGCACGAGTACTGAACAAGAACCAAGGCTACCTAGCAGACGCCAAGAAAAAGATGACTTTCGATGGAGCAAACATCACGGAGTTCCTGATCGACTACGAGAACCTAGCTGCGTTACTAAAATGGACCGAGAAGGAAAAGATGGACCACCTAGGACAGCATGTGTCGTTAAGCCTAGGACGGGACATAATGGCCATTGTAGCCGCAAGCCGGTCTTGGAAGGAGACCCGGGATGTGATGATGAGGAAGTACCTAGCGGCGGAGAAAATGGCAACAGAGGCCGACTTAGCGGCAGTTCAGAGGAAGAACTTCGCAACGTACAATGATTTCCTACGAGAGCTTACTCTAGTAGCACTAAGGATCCCCGGGGTCACGGACCGGATAATGAGCAAATATTTCCTCAGGCAGTTCTCCGAGTCCGACAAAGACAAGATCCTGTCGGCTTACCAACAGACGAGCAAGTTCGTAAACACGCGGGATGTTGATTTTAGCATGGTAACAGATCTGGCTGAGAAAACGGTAGTAACAGAAACATTGGCCTTGCTCAAGGAAGGGGGGGTCATAGACTTGACCAGTAGGACGGGCGACAAGGTGAAAAGGGGGATTGAAAGCCTACACGAACGGGTGCACAGAGTCGACAACAAGATTGAAAGGATGGAGAACACGCTGCTAGTTATGTAGGCGCAAGTATCCCGTCCCCCCCTCCCGCCCCACGAAGCAGTAGTTCCGCCAGGGGTAGCCAATCATGGATATGGACGGAGAGATCCCTCCAACGAACAATGCAAGTACTATACCACGGTAGGACATTTTGTGCGGGCATGTCCAAAGCTCAACCATGACATATTGAAAAAAAGGTTTACCATGTCATAAAAGGGGGAGATATTTGGACCACAAGGGGAACGGGTGAACTGGAACTCGCCAGGAGGGATGCGGCGAGCCATTATCATGCTCAACGGGTAATAAATAACGGTCGTAGAAGCCGAACCGGTGGGCGAGATCATCTAGGATCAACTCCGGGGGCGCGGGCCTCAGGTCAACTTCATTTTGGAAAATGACGGACGAGATAGGGTAAACGCGACTACTCGGCTAGGGACGGCTGGGAGAAGGATTATCCGTGACACCATGATGGAGGAGGTTGCTGGGGGTTCGGAACCCCCGACAGAGCCTGAGGCCGAGGAACCGGAAAAGGTCTATGGGAAACCTAGGGAAGAGGAGCCTACAGACAAAGTTACCGCTGCCAAGAAGAAGTTTAGGTACCAAATCTCGATCTTATCCATGGCTGAGATCGACGACACCCTTAGCAATCTGCTAGGAACCATGGTGTCGGTGTCGTTTCAGACGATGTTGCAGGTCAGCCCTAGGTTGCTTAAAGGGCTTAGGCAACTGTTGACTCGGCGACGGGTAGAGATAGACGAGAACCCCGAATTACCAGAAGAGGAAAGAGAGGAGGAACCTCCACAAAAAGTCGCTAACCTCCAAAGGAGTTGCGGGGATGTGGAAGATCTCAAGAAGGTTTTTGCAGACATCCGCCTAAGCCTACCAGACAGGGAAGGTGGCGAGGTCATGAGGGCACCTCCTGGGACAAAGCTCAGTTTTCATGTGGTACCCGTAGGAAAACTGAAGATTCAGATTGGGACTCATCATACCGACGCGTTGGTAGACGGGGGAGCGGAAATCACTCTCATAAGGAAAAATTTCGTTGTTCGGTAAATAAGGAAGTAACAGGGAGCATCCGGGGAGCCGGTGGGGAAATCCCGTTCGCTGGGTATGTCACAAAATGCGCAGTAAAAGCAGGAGTCACGGAGTCAATCTGGTCATTTCAACGGATGACCGTAATGGAGGAAATGGACCACGATATAATCCTCAGGAGGCCATGGTGCGCAAACGTGGAAATGATAGGCATGCACTTGCACGACGACACGTACATTGTAGACATAAAGGACCCAGTGACCGGTCGGGGAGAGCTCCTCCGACTTCTGGGGACAGGAGGGGACCCCCCAAAGGGAAAGATGGCCACGTGGTCACCTTCGTTCAAAGATAGCGCACAAAAAGGGGCTTTTGCGCGGATGGAAGGTATGAGAGAGGGTAGAAATAATGATTGAGGAGGCATTCAACAAAAAGGAGTGGATCAAGATGGGCCTACCCCGAAAGAAGAGGAGGCAGGAGCACGAGATCTTAGGTGTCATGGTGGCAGAAAAGGAGATGGAAGTTGAGCTTGGGGCCAGCCTGCCCAAGCAAAGCGAAGTGCGCAAGGACGTGCCGAAAATCGTGCTTGAGATCCCCGATTTGTTGCAGCTCATCAATGCCCTCAGATACCACAAGGTAGGAGTGGACCCGGCGGCCTTGGCGAAATTTGAAGGAGAGGTACAAAAGGGATATTGCCTGAATGGAAAACTAGTTAGTATTCAGCCACGATTCGTAGAAGCAACGAGGGCAATCCCGACCGTTCATTTTTTAGAAGAAAGATCCCGGAAGGAAGTGTTTGAAAGTACAAGCCGGTAAGGAAGAAAGCAAAGCCGGTCTCGATCCTGCTTGAGACATCAAAGGAAGAGGCCATGGAAAAGGAGGAGGAAGTTCTGCAGGTGACCCAAGAAAGGAGGGCAACGAAAGGGCATCGAATACCGGATGAGGTAGCCGATACGATGAAGATAGGGATAGACGGGTTCTTAACAGAAGAAGAAAAACGCCTGATCAAGAAGATCTGCCAGGAGTTTCATTTGGCATTTGCCTTTAGTGACCATCATAAGGGGCGGCTGGACGCAAAATTGATCCCTCCGGTCAGAATCCACACGGTAGAGCATGGATGCTGGAATGACAAGGGACCGTCATATGAATTCGGAATAGCGGGGGAAGTGACAGACCTCCTTCGAGCAAAGATGGACTCCTTCGTCGCGGAACCTACAGCGTCGCCATATGCAAACCGGTGGTTCGTCTTTCGAAAGCCCATTAAGACGTTAAGGTGGATTCAGGATCTGCAGAAGCTGAATGCAGTGACCATCCGGGATGCTGACTCACTACCCCGGGCCGATCTATTAGCGGAATCGCACGCCCGACGAAGCATTTACTTCCTAATAGATCTGTACTCGGGATACGACCAACTTCCATTGGATGTCCGGGACAGGCCGTTCACCGCAATGCACACCCCGGTAGGCCAGTTGCAGATGCAGGTGACCCCTATGGGCTTTACGAACGCGGTAGCATAAGCGCAACGAAGAATGCTAGCTGTAACCGAGGATATGTTCCCAGAAAAGTGTGAACCCTATATCGACGACAATCCGATCAAAGGCTCGCAGGAGAAGGACGAGACAGAAATCCAACCAGGAATCCGAAAGTTTGTATGGGACCATCTACAAGACATCAAGGACTTGCTCCGTCGGTTCCTAGAATGCAACATCACGGCTAGTGGACCAAAGAGTATTCTAGCAGTACCAGAAGTAACCATACTAGGATTTCGCTGCGGTGCTTACGGTAGGAAGCCAGATCCGACGAAAACGGACAAGATATCGCAGTGGTCAACCTCCCTGCGCAGTACAACGGAGGTGAGAGCATTCCTAGGCGTGGTCGGTTTCTGGAGGATTTTCATTAAGAATTTTGCCAAGATTGCGGAGCCTATCCGGGCTATGATCAGAGAGGAAGGGACCATGGACTGGACGGAGGAGCGAGAGGAAGCCGTCCAGACCCTCAAGGACATTCTGACGTCATCGCAGGTCGCTTTGTCCGCGCCCTGCTTTAATGATGAAGTAGGACGACCATTCATCCTAGAAACAGATGGAGGGCCCTTGGTCGTAGGAGGTGTACTGATTCAAAGGGACGAGGGAGGAAAAAAGAGGCCAATTAGGTTCAAAAGTAGAACCCTGAACTCCGCAGAACGGCGGTACTCACAATTCAAGAAGGAAGTCCTAGCCATCCTGCATTGCCTTAAGACCTTTCAGGCCTACCTATTTGGGAGGCGGTTCATATTAAGGATCGATCCGACGAATGTCGCAGGGGCTCTAAAGAATTACACGCCTATAGATCCGACGGTGGGGAGATGGGTAGGATTCATCTGGCAATTCGATTACAAGATCGAACGGATTGCTGGAATCCGGAACAAGGCAGATGGGCTGAGTCGGGTTTGCATCACTCCCAAAGGGGTGGAGGATGCAGAGCCCATAGACGCATTCCTTGAATTCGAAGGAGGGACTCTTGCGGTGGACAACGAAATGATGGACGAAGGATGCGCATCTGGGGAACTGCTGATTCGGACTTTAGAAAAGGGGGCTCCTGCCGTAGTAGCAGAACTTAGAGAAGGACCGGTCACCACTCGAGGTCGTAAAGAGGAAAGGGATTCGTGGGGAGCAATAATAGGACCAAAGGAAGAACTCATAGCAATGACGGTTGAAGGGGACCGGGAAGCCGTAATGAGCCTAGTGGAATCGTGGGAAAGGAAATAGTTGGAATGGTTGGTAAATCGGATGCATGAGAAAAAGGAGGACCAGGAAGGAAAGGAGTTTCTCTATGCTCGGATATACGAAGGGATCTTTTGGGAGATCGGATCGTTACTGGTAGGAAATAAACAACCCTTGGAAGTCAGCATTAAAGCAAGGGAGGAGGCCGGGAGGTACGTCCTAAGGGGGGGCCACCTTTTCCGACGAGCAGAAGGAACTATGCCTAGAAGAGTCGTGTGCGCGGTTGGATGTTATCCAGGCAATGCACGACTGCTTGGCGGGGGGGCATCGATCATCAAAAGAGACTGTTGTGAAGGTAGCACCACTCTTTTATTGGGCAGGCATGGCAGGCATGATCGCCACGTACTGCCAGACATGCCTCATCTGCCAGGAACGAAGCTCGACGCGTGTCTTTGAGCCACTTAGACCAACGCGGGTGTTAGGACCGGGACATCTGGTTCACTTGGACCTTGCGGTCATGCCTGTGTCAACCGACGGGTACAGGTATATTCTAGATGCGCGAGACAACTTAAGTGGGTTCGTGGAGGCGGTCGCCCTCAAGAAAAAGACCGGGGGAAGTGTGGCTGACTGGATAGAAGACTTTTATTTGAGGCATCCTTTTGTCAGGAGGTTTATAGCGGACAATGGGACAAAATTTGTGAATCAAGAAGTATTGGGAATGCTTAAGAGACTTTGCGTTCCGATCAAACTCATTGAGCCATATCACCCAGAGGCCAATGCACCGGTGGAAAGAGGGCACCGAACCCTAAAGAACACGATTGCAAAGCTCGCAGCGGACCATCTGGGAAGCTGGCCCAGGTACCTCAAGCAGGTGGTCTTCTCAGAGAACATGACACCTAAAAGGACAACGGGATGTATCCCAGCGAAACTATGGTACAGAAGAGAGATCGACTTTCCCGTCGAAGCCTTGATACCTACCTGGAACAGGTTAGATGATGATCCGCGAATGACTACGGAAGAGTTAATCGAGGCAAGGTGTCAACAAGTCCTTAAAAACGAAGAAGTCATGGAAGACATCGCCAACCGGGTGCTAGACAGCAGAATGAGAGACAAAGCAAGGTGGGACCAAGTTAAGAACGTAAGAAAGGAGTCACTTCAGGTGAGAGAAATAATATTGCTAAGAAACTCGGCACTAGAGAGTACATGGTCTGGGCAGTTGGGGAAGAGGTTCAAAGGCCCCTATCGGGTCGCCAAGCGGGTGGGACTGAACACCTTCGCACTAGAAGATCTTGATGGAACTGGACTGAAAGGACCCTTCCCAGGGCAACGGTTGATCAGGTTTCTGAGTCGGGACCCGGTGGAACAATCGCTCCAGGAGGCCGAGGATAAGGAAACTGAGGAACAACATGTTAAAGACTGACAAATGGTCATGCTCTCACTATGGTTCGATCTCTGACTGCGTTCATGGGACTGTCATTTTTTTCTGGGGCAATGGGTTGGATTGACTGAGGTTGAGAAGCATGATGACTTGGGAGTTTGGGGAAATGGTTTTTTTGGGTGGCCGCAAGGAGTGGCGGGAGCAATGTATCATAGTTTTGACGGAGAATGTTGGGATCATCACAAACAGCGCATTCGCATGTGTAATAGGAGCATGGTGCGAGGGATGTTAGGAGCATTCTGGGGAAAGGGGGAACTGCCTACCAGACTGGGGAAATGGGCGCATGAGGGGCTTTGCGGGTGTTGTTTTGTTATACAGGGTCTAAAAGAAAGAAAAATGGAGTTCGGTAATGAGAATGACAGCGGGGCAATCAACAGGCCTGCCGGAGGGGAAGAAGCGGGACCAAGCCAAGGGAGGAGAACTGCGAAGAGATAGCTGTACATAGGGCTCATAGGCGGACCGGTGGTAGGCAGGGGTGGAAGGAAGTGCCTATGTAGAAGACCCTCCCCCCTCCGGAAGGGAGAGGGGATAAAAATCTCATCTGGGAGTGAAGGCGAGAGGGGAAGGGCAAATATGGGAGGACAGGGCGACACGGAGATGAGAGGCAAGGTTCGCGCCTCTGACGAAGAAAGGGCCGAGGAATGCGACCGGTGTGAGCCTTGGGATGCGGAAAGGGGGGAGAGACAGGATATGCGCAACAAGCGAAAGACGAGGAGGAAAAAAGGGAAAGCCCGCTTGAAGGACGAAGCGACCACGGCAATTGTGAGGGTTATGTGACGGGGACAAAGATTCCTTTTACCTACGATCCGAAGAACCTAGCAGGTGGGTATAGCCCCATACAGACAGAAGACGAGGAGGACGGGGAGGAGGATGTACAAGAAGTCATAGACATCAGCAGCGGGGATGAGAGGGATGAGATCTCGAGGCCTAGGGAAGAAGGGCGGCCTCCGATGCACCAGCCGGGCGACGGGGCTTTCAGATGGGAGGACGAGTTTGGGCCAACACCCAGTCATTGGTTTCAACAATGGACCAATGTGATCAGGCACAAATGGATTATCAAGACCCGGGAACTCGCAAAGGTGGGGCTGGAAGTTACGTTGTCGGGGCAGAAACCCTGACAAGGGTATCTGCCCGTGGATTTCAACGCCGGACGCTGTCTGACCTTTTCACTAAATTGGAGGACTTGATGAGATTGACGTTGCCAAAGTTTATTCGGACCAGCGCTATGACTGAAAGACTTAAACTTTTTAGAATCTGACGCCGTCGATGTAATACGACATTGACGCCCGTGCGGGATAGCGGGAGTCGGCACTGTCGTCCGCGGGTTTTGACGAGGCTGCAATAATGTACGATCATGAGAAAACTAAAGTAAAACACAGACTACATATAATAAGGTCAGGCGGCTGTTAAGCCGCGCGATTCAGAGCCTAAGTGGGCTAAAAAAGGGGTCGTTGCGACAAGGATGGGACCGCAGCGTGAAAGAGCAGGAGGGTTTTGGGTCCGCGGGGCTTCTGCGCTGAGGACCAGAGGTGAAGGTGTTGGGGCCGGTTGGGTAGGGCAACTGCTAAGGCTGTCGGCTGTCGACCCCGCCTCGCGGCCACAGCAACAAGCAGGCTTAGCCTGCTAAGCGCTGGAAGGGGGCCGACTGGGCATTGGGAGCCCTTCATATAGAAGGGTTGCTCCTCTTTGGACGTGAGAAGGAGCTAACCCAGTAGGTACTGCCGCCCGATTATTACCCTGCAGATTCAGGGATCGAGCCCAACGACTGTGACTGGGCTAGCTCCTTTTGATAGGAGCGGCCCAACCCCCTGAAGTGACGCGGTCATTCTCGACCACGCGATCCACCAGATCGCAGGGCCGAAATCGGCCGCGTGGGTGGTATCATGGTATGGCCCCTGCGCAAGGATGACACGCTTAAGCCGAGAAAGGGGTCAAAATTTTATTTTTATTATTTTTTGGAAAAAAAAAAAAAAAAAAAAAACCTTATCTGTCCTGTAGCTGGCCGCGTAAGCAGCCAGATACGGGCGCGATGGAGACAGCAGCTACGTCGAGGTAAGGAGTTCTTTCTTTTTTTTGTTTTGTTCTTCTTCTTTATTTCCTCCTTCTTGGTTCTCGTGGTTGGCGCCACCAGGTCGAAACGACGTGACCGTTGGCCTAAGCCAGCGGGAAAAAGAAAGAAAATATATATATATAATAATAATAATAATATCTATAGTGCCATGTGGCGCTGCCAGTAGTGGAGCGAGACCCTTAGTGTCCCAACAAACTAGGTAGGCGCCCGAAGAAACGGGCGACCGTTTTTCTTTTTTTTTGAGAGTTCCTTGTCTTTTTTTTTTTTTTTCTTTGTAAGATTTCGTTTAGATTTTTTCCAAAATTTTTGTTAGATTTCTTTCTAGATTTTATTTGGATTCTTTGTTTTTTTTGTTTTGTGTTGAGTGAATGCTCCTGTTCGTTTCAAACGAACGGGACTTGAATGCGCTCGACTGTTTCGTCGGACTCTCACCGACTCATCAGGAGGCTAAGCCTCGACAGCGGGCCAGCCGAATGAATCAGCCGTAGAAATGCGGCTGTATGCAGGTATATCGGGGGGGGGTTCCTGAGAGAGAGAGAGAGAGAGAGAGAGAGAGAGAGAGAGAGAGAGAGAGAGAGAGAGAGACCAGCTACCTGCGCCTGTTGGATTTTGAAACGGGCTGCAGTGTTTGCTGGCGCGCCCGAACCTGGCGCTGAAAGCGTCCGGGTACGGGCGCGGGGCAAAGGTGGAAAAAAAGGTCTTTTGAGCTTGACTCTAGTTCGACTCTGTGAAATGACTGGGAGGGGAGGGACGTGCTCGTTCGTTTTTCAAACGACGAGCTGCCCCTGCTCTAGGAAAAAAAAAAAAAGATGGGGAAAAAGGTAACGGCCGCGAATGTGGCCGCGACCATGGAAGAGGTGCAGCCCCTAGAAGTTTTTAGGGGCTCATGGGACTGCACCTGTTCATTCTTGACCAGGCTGCTGCAAATGGCTGAATTGCCTCTGGCTTGGGGTGGCGGCCAAGTGCATTACTAAAGTTAGGGACTTGATGTTCCTAGTGGAACATCAAGATTCCCAGCCCTCGATCGAAGTTTAGATCGAGGGCTAGGCTCAGCCCCGTTTTTTTGGCTGAGCCTCAAGTGGCTGCCCTCCACTCCAGCCCAGCTGTAAAAGCAGGGTTGGCCAGCAGCATCCTCACTGAGTTGAGGTGCTGCCAACATTCTGATTGAATGTGGAGTAGTGAGCAGCATTATGCTGCCGAGATGCAGAAGGGAGGAGGAGAGAGGAGGTCTGCAATGGAGGCTGAGTGGAGGCTGCCATAGCCACCATCTCAGCAAGGGTGGAAGTGTTGTCGGCCAAAGCCGCAGCCATGGCGACGACGGTAGGGGGAGGCTCTACTACTCTTTCGGCGGCGGCTGCGGCAGTAGTGCAGAAGCGCTGCCGAAATTTTTCGGCGGTGGCAACTTTATTCACGGTGGCGCGGAAGCGCTGCCGAAATTTTGCGGCGGCGGCGCCGGGCTTGACGGCGGTGGTGCAGAAGCGCTGCCGAGATTTTGCGGCAACAGTGCTGATTTTAACGGCAGTGGTGCGAAGTGCTGCCCGTTTTGTACAGCGGCAGTGGTGTTGGCAGTGAGGAAGTGTTGCCGGGGTTTTTGGCATGGCGGCGGCAACATTCTTCAGTGAGATCATGTTGCCGGAATTGGCGGCGGCAACAATATTTTCATTGTGGTTATG